TTGGTCGTGCGGCGCGTGGCAACGCTGAAGCAGCCTCTTGTACCGCTTTATCCGCCTGAAGGTTTCAGCGGAGTCCGGAGCCCTACTGCACACGTACTGGTTCCATGATAGTGGTGTCCCGGGTTCGATCCTCGACTCTTTATTTTCCGCATGATCACGTAACATTTTATTTTTAATTCTTCATCCGCATTTATAAATCAAGCAGTTCCGATCACTATCCCCCCCTCATTTTACGTACATTTTCCCCCGATGTTTATTCACATTGGCCACATATAATCGTATGGAACTTCATTGATATAAATTAATGAATTAAAAAGCAAAAGAAAACCTTATTTGTTACTACAGTATCTCCCAATGTTTTCCTGGAAAAATATGTAATGTGTAAATAAATCGAAAAGCAACCCCAAACCCATGTGCACGCAAGGGTCACCAAGAAACACATTATTTTAGCCCTTTGCTTTTTAATTCATTAATTTATATCAATGAAGTTTCATACGATTATATGTGGCCAATGTGAATAAATATCGGGGGAAAATGTACGTAAAATGAGGGGGGGATAGTGATCGGAACTGCTTGATTTATAAATGCGGATGAAGAATTAAAAATAAAATGTTACGTGATCATGTGGAAAATAAAAAGTCGAGGATCGAACCCGGGACATCACTATCATGGAACCAGTACGTGTGCAGTAGGGCTCCGGACTCCGCTGAAGCCACCGGGTGGATAAAGCGGTACATGAGGCTGCTTCAGTGTTGCCAAGCGTTGCACGACCAAATCACACGCCGAAAACGCAACTTTTGGGAATTTTTTACGTCCTTCCTATTGCGCATTCGGGAAAACGGCTCAACTTAACCTCTAGAATTGGTCCATAGAGTATGTAAAAAAAAATTCAGCCCAATCGGAGGCGGCAGGTCCGTAAGTTCCCCTTGTGAGTGTAAACAATGCGACATCGTCGCTACCTGGTGGGGAGAGGGGGTTTCCTGGCCGAAGTGCTCGAGCAAGGTAAGGCGACAGCGACGCGGAGCGCCCATTTACCTCCGCCGCACAGAAAATAGTCCGGGTTCAATCGCGAATAATCTCAGCTTCTACTCGTAAAAGTGAGCTAATTTTTTGGCTTTCCCTTAATTATGAACTTTATAACAATCTATTAAAGTTTCATCAACTTTCATAGAGAGCCGCTGAGCCCATGCTCTGTGCGGGGTTCTTTAAACTCGTTCAGGCAAACCGTGCCGCGAGTGGAATGTTACGAAAAATCGGCGAAATCGCACGATGAGGCTTCTTTGAGGGGTAGAAAAGGGCATTCTGAAAGTGATGAGGTAACTTGAATTTTTTTTCTCATAAGAACCCCTAGATAGTGTGTTACCTCAGAAATTACAAAGCCGTAGCTACATTTTAAAGGGTGGGGAGGGGGGAAATTCGCGAAAATGACGGAAAAATGTAATTGTCTATTTAAAGTTCCCGCTTGGAGACTTTTCGGCCCCGACGGCACTACTCAGAATAATCCAATCCGGCTGAAATTTTTTGTACGTTCATTTCACACCAAAAGACAACTTTAGGGGGGGGGGGAGAGTTACTACATTTGATTTTCGAAAAGTCGAAAACTAAGAACCACCCTAATGCGCAGGGTTTTTTGGGCCTTTTTGGGCTAGAAATTCAAAGTCTACCCATATTTTTTACATAATATATGGGATTTGTCGCAGGCCAGATCGACCATGTCATAAAACTTGACAAATCTCCTTAAAGAGTTTCATTTAATTACGGTTGACATATCCACAAATTAAAGAAGAGGACAGGCCGAGCCTAAAACGAGGGCAAAAAGAAGACGTTTGTTCTAAAAGAAAAGAGGACATCCTCACGTAATTTATACGTCGGCTTCATATCTTCCCTGTTTTTTATCTTTCATGATTTGATTTAAGATGTATCTTCTGCGCGAAAAATTCATGTGCTTCTCGAAACATAGAGTACCTAGTTGGATCCAGAGCTTGAAAAACAGAGCTGTCCGGACCCAAAAATTCGAATTGTAGAGGTACTCTCTAGCCAGGTAGCCCTTGACAAATTTGAATAACTAAGCGGCAATTCCATGATAAAGCGGACATTAGATTAGCGAGGGGGGATCATACATTTGATTTTCAAAAAGTCGAAAAATAAGAACCACCTCACTACACATGAACCTAAAGAATCACTTTAGACCAAAGAGTTTGCAAAATTCTGAGAAATGAAAGCAAAATTCTATTTGGAAAAAAACCTCGCACTTAATACCGTAACCAATTTCTATATTGAGAGCAAGGTTTTCTTCCAGGTTATATCGCATGCCGGTTCAACAATGCTAGAAACTGTGATAAATCACCTTAACAATACTTTCGTTTTTTTACTATACAGCCACTATTACCCATCTGCAAGTGAAAAAGCTGGAATACTTAGGGAAAGAAAATTATTAGTCAGGAATAAGTTCCACGCCTAACACCTAAATGTTTGGTTTAAACTGTGTTTATTGTTATTTAAATTGGAAAAATATACTCATGCGTGGATTGTAATGGGACTGGTAACCATGTTAAACAAGTCCGTAATCAAAACTAGTGAAATGAGAAGATATTGATATTCGAAAGAAGTCTTCAGCCCCATGAGTTTGTCATTTTTTTACTATCATTATGCTTAATTTAATATTATTTTATTTTTTTTTCACAAGTTTCAAATAGCCTATTGGCTATAATCCCACGCTTATTACCCCAGCCCCAGGTAGCCATTGTCCAAGACCATCAAACTCAGGTCACCTAGCCAGGAGTCAAACCCGCGACCTCTTGGTCATAGGGCCAGCAGGCAAAAAATAATAGGTTACAGCTCTATAATTAATATCTGTTGACTAATTTATAGTATAAGAATTAGATTAAATCTATTTTTCCTTTATTTTGCAAGTTAAAAAATTATACTTTGATGGTTAATTAATATATTGGCTAAACATAATATCTTTTATATCAACCAATTCAAGTTTAACTCTTTAAACTTTAATAAAAAAATTCTAATTTTTTTCTGTGGCTTAAGAATTTCTGGGTTTCCTCCTTTTCTTGGGTTTTTAATTAAATGATTAGTAATTAATTATCTTTGGCAAGATATCAACAAACACAAAATTTCAGTGATCAGCCCGATTACTGAAATTTTGTGTTTGTTGGGCGGACATAGATGACATAGGTTAAACAGCAGGGCGTGATTGGTCGGCTATGTCTTATCTCTACTTTGTCATGCCTTTGTCGGGTGGAATTCTAAACAACCTAAAGGCACCTCTTGAGTTTTTGACAGTAGTCATCCATTCCACCTCACAAAGGCACGACAAAGCAGAGATAAGACATAGCCAACAAATCATGCTACGCCATTCAACCTATGTCCATCTTTGCTGTCCCAACCAAAACAATCAATTTTGTTCTTTTATTTTTAATTTTCAAAGGAAAAAATAAAGAAATTAACAGCATAGGAGCAAAGTGTGTCTTCGGTTTTGACATATCGACGGTGTCAGTCGCAGACTTCCTGTCATACTTTATTTTTGAAACAGAAAACTACTCAAAAGCAATTCTTTCAGATTGCCGTGATTTTTCTTCTCTGCGGGAAGAAAATTCTGCTAAAACTTTAAGAAATGATGTCAATTTGTTCCCCTTTAAAAAATAAAGAGGCGGAGATTTTCAGACACCGCAAACGAGTTATGTGATTGCAGACTTACACCGTTGTTATATTTTTTCTAGTTTTTTCCCTTTGAGTTCCGGAGTTTTTGAAATTTCTCCAGGAAGGAAATACTTACTCATGTCCTTTTAGTGTCCCACGTGTGAAGCCTACGGAATTAAGTATAACTCAGCGACTAATTCTTCAAAAAATTTATCAAAAAGTCAAATCATACGAAAAATTGACCGCCATCCCCATATCTACTTTCTGAGAAAAAATATTTGGCGGATCATTCCATAATTTTTCATCATACTTAGATATCAAACTGTCCCAACCAAAACTACCTATGAAATGGAGATGTTGCATGTGTGAGGAATTTGCAATTTGACTATTGATTCTTATGTAAAAGTTCGCAAGAAATACGATGGTGCCACTGGTTTTCTCTGAAATAAACTCCCAAGCTAAAAAAAAGCTCTCAAGATGAGGTCAAAATGGAGGGGATATCCCATGCTATCCTGAGAGTCCACCTCTACATCAAGAAAAACTCTCCATGCAAAGATAGGGAGCAAATACATCAGCAGGGATGCCAGGTTTTCAGTTTTCGAGTCCCCAAATACAGTGGCAGCCCTATCAATGTATTTGCTCCCTATCTTTGCATGGACAGATCGTCTTGATGTAGAGGCGGGCTCTCAGGTTAGCGTGGGATATCCCCTCCATTTGGAGAGATTTTTTTGAGCTTGAGAGTTGATTTCAGGGAAATCCAGTGGCACCATCGTGTCTCTCAGGAACTTATACATGAGAATTAATTGTCAAATCGTAAATTCCTCAAACATGCAACATCTCCTTTGCCATGAGGGGACTAAGATACATTAATTTCGTTTTCAATACGGAGGTTTCCTCAAACGACTACCACTTTACTCCGCATTAACATGGTTTTCAAATTATCGAGGTTAAAATTATCGAAAGTAGACTGTAATAAAGAGGCCAAGTTGGTCATAAACCTTTCTTGATACATACCTATGAATACCCAGAATCCATTCCTACTCAAAGTGATGATTTGAAACTTAAAACTTGGAACAGTATTAAGTTAGTTATGACAATTCCTGGTGGTAGAATAACTATACGACAATTTCTGAGACATCAGGAGTATTGCTCCCTCAATATGAGCAATGACATTTTTACACTTTAATTTAGTTATCTTGTGCTTTAATCTTATCTCTAAATACTGCCGACAAATTTTAACGAAGCATCAAAGAGAGAATTTGATGAAAGATCACCAGGAGTGTATCCCTCACCCTCACACTAAGCGGAAATTCAAATCACTAGACTTCAACAGATAATTGTGAGCTTACCAGTTTCCAGAGCCGAGAATAGCGACTTTTTTCTTCTGAGAAGCCATTTCCACGAGATCGAACTGAAGTGGCGAGAAGGACAGCGATTCTACGCTTCACTCGAAGAGCAAGACAGTGTGAATGATCGCGACGAAATGTCTTCTAAGTAAATACGATGCAAACCGAGCTGGCGAAAATCAGTGAAACGCTCGTAAAATGATTACGCCGAGACAAGCTGAAAGATCTAACACATGAGACCGACTCGACTCGGCCTTGGTTATCTCAACTGACCTTGGTCGTCATGTCAAGATAACTTCGTGAGGTGTATTGAATACTGATTCAAAATATTTCTTATCACAACCAAAACGAGATCACAGACCGGCACAGATGATAACACGAACAATTTACAGAAGCATAATAATAGAAACGTATCAACACCATAGGCCATACTGACATATCCTGGACTCCCGTAGGCCAATGTAAAAATCCGGAATCAGTTACTAGTGCTGCGACCTCGCGTAAGATTCTCGCAACTAACTGCAAATGGAAGCATTTCTGCCAATGTTGCATGCATATGTGTGAGGAATTTGCGATTTGACTACTGTTGAATCTTATGTAAAAGTTCGCGAGAAACACGATGGTGTCACTGGTTTTCTCTCAATCATCTCCCAAGCTCAAAAATAGCTCTCAAGTTGAGGCCAAAATGGAGGGGATATCCCACACTATCCTGAGAGTCCACCAAAGACATAAAGACGTTGGCGGCTCGTATCTAAAAGCACGGGGAAAAAGTGAAGCCTAGTTTGTCAAAACTCTTTTCTTCAAGAGTCAAGACAATGCGAATCCATTTCTGATTGGTTAACCGGATTTTAGGCCTTCACAGTGTCACAAACGGGAATAAAGATTGCATTTTCACCAATTGCAAAGATTATAATCTGGAATGGACCGAGGAATTTCGGGTTCGACAAGGAACAAACGGAATGAGAGAAGGAACGGAGAAAGGAATTTAAGAATGAGCCGATCAAAGATTACGAAAAACGTTCAATTTGTGTTATCTTTATTCCCGTTTGTGACTCCATGAGGGGTGTTGTCTGGACTCTCAGTAAAAGGACTCATGGAACGCCGTTAGTGTCAAAACCCTTTTCTTGCGCGCGCGGAATTTTTTCTGGCGCGCGGAAAGAAAAAACCCGTTTTCGATGAAAATCTCTGAATTTCCGGATTCCGCGCCGGTTTTCGATATACTTGCGCCGTTTGTGTCAAAACTATTTTTGTCGGCGCGCCGCTTCAAATCTGTTCCGCGCGCGGAATTTTCGATATATCGATTCCAGCTCGCCGATCGTGTCAAAACTGTTTTTTCCGGCGCTGCACCAGAAAATAATTCCGCGCGCCACTTTTTCGATATATCGAAAATCCTGCGCGCGGAACAGATTTGGAGCGCCGCGCCGGAATAAATAGTTTTGACACAAACGGCGAGCAGGAATCGATATATCGAAAATTCCGCGCGTGGAACAGGTTTGAAGCGGCGCGCCGGCAAAAATAGTTTTGACACAAACGGCGAGCAGGAATCGATACATCGAAAATTCCGCGCGCGGAACAGATTTGAAGCGGCGCGCCGACAAAAATAGTTTTGACACAAACGGCGCAAGTATATCGAAAACCGGCGCGGAATCCGGAAATTCAGAGATTTTCATCGAAAACGGGTTTTTTCTTTCCGCGCGCCGGAAAAATATTCCGCGCGCCAGAAAAAATTCCGCGCACGCAAGAAAAGGGTTTTGACACTAACGGCGTTCCATGAGTCCTTTTACTGAGAGTCCAGACAACACCCCTCATGGAGTCACAAACGGGAATAAAGATAACACAAATTGAACGTTTTTCGTAATCTTTGATCGGCTCATTCTTAAATTCCTTTCTCCGTTCCTTCTCTCATTCCGTTTGTTCCTTGTCGAACCCGAAATTCCTCGGTCTAGAGTCCCTTTATACCCAGAGTTACGACAACTCGATTATCAGCTGACTGACAGCCGGCCTTGGCTGGCCGTGGAGGCCGAAACGAGTGCACCCAAACGAACGATATTGGGGGATAAGGATCAGGAATCCTGCGATGTCTGTCACACAGAAACAACAACATCAACAAATTGATCAATTAAAAAGAAAATGAGATTGGTTTGTGAATAATTTCTTAATCTATTTTCATTTTGGACCGATGGCAATGACAATTTACTCTTGATAAACCACAATTAGGTAATATTTTCATTATTCTTGTTCACATACGAGGTACCGCCATCTTGGTGCACTCGTTTCGGCCTCCATGAGCGAGAACCAATCAGAATTGGATTTTTTTTTAGGCCACTTTCAGCCCAACCCTGGCCCAACCAAAAGTGAGTTGTCGTAACTCTGGGTATAAAGGGACTCTACCTCGGTCCATTCCAGATTATAATATTTGCAATTGGTGAAAATGTAATCTTTATTCCCGTTTGTGACACTGTGAAGGCCTAAAATCCGGTTAACCAATCAGAAATGGATTCGCATTGTCTTGACTCTCATTATAAAGGGACTCTAGGTGCTTCTGTGAGTGTGTAAATGAGTGCGGGAATCCATGGCGGCAAACGAAAAATTGATTTGAACTTATTGTCCTCTTGATTTTTCCACATTTCTCCTTCGAAACGTATTTTAAATGCCTAAAACGAATGTATTAAGAAAGTTGGGACTACGTCCTACTATAATACATTTACTTTTGCTCGGTACCAGGCAGTAATATCAGATAAAGTTAGTTTTTCTTCTGCTCATGGTGGTTCTGCCGGTTCAAACAGGCCGTTACAGTCGTAGATGACAGTTACTCCCAAATGAAATTAATCGGCCGACGACGGACCAAAACTAACCTAAAATTATACAAATATGAGTGTGTAAGTGAATTTGGGCAAAAATCAATCTAAACTACTTTGTTTCCGCAATTTGATTTAGTTCCCGCCCTACATTTGAATTTCAAACTTGACCCGATTTCGCCGCCAATCCTATAGCCAATAGTAGAGGTGATTGAAAAGAAGCTTCATTTTTTATTTTAGCGCTCCGTCTTTACGTCTTTGATGCGGCTGCAACAAAGCGGATGAAACCCATAGAGTACATAGAGTCGTAATGTAATTGGGAGAGCTGGCGCCACTTTTAAGCATTTTCCATGTCCCGAATTCCGAGACTCCTGTGTGACGCCGGGTCACTTTTTCGATACATAATCGATTGTTTGCGATACACGTACCCAGCCATCCGATGACAACAACAACAAAGGAGATAGGAATTACCACGTATTCCACACCGCCACTTTGGATCGAAAATGTATCGAGAAAGCGACCCGAACTCGGCGCACACCGGGTTCGGAATTCGTCGAGCAGAACATGGCGCCAGCTCTCTCATTTACATTACGACTCTACATATGTACTCTATGATGAAACCAAAATGGAATGACGAACTCCCTGGCTATTTTCTGTCTCTCTCGCACACATTCGAAGCCTCCCTGGCTGTCATCTGTCTCTCTAGCGTTCCGGCTGGCGATTTTCTATCTCTCTTGCACTCATTAGCAGACGCCCTGGCTGCTTCCTGTCTCTCTCCCACACATAAGCGGGCTCCTTGGCTGTTTTCTGTCTCTCTCGCACTCATTAGCAGGTTCCCTGGCTGTTTTCTGTCTCTCTCGCACACATAAGCAGACTCCCTGGCTGTTTTTTGTCTCTGTCGCACAATCTGTCAACCCGCCTGGCGATTATCTATCTCTCTCGCACACATTAGCGGGCTCCCTGGCTGTTCTCTGTCTCTCTCGCACACATTCGAAGCCTCCCTGGCTGTCATCTGTCTCTCTTGCAACCTCTAGCGTTCCGGCTGGCGATTTTCTATCTCTCTTGCACTCATTAGCAGACGCCCTGGCTGCTTCCTGTCTCTCTCGCACACATATGCAGGCTCCCTGACTGTTTTCTGTCTCTCTCGCACTTATTAGCAGGCTCCTTTGCTGTTTTCTGTCTCTCTCGCACATATTCGCTGGCTCCCTGCCTGTTTTCTATATCTCTCGCACACATTAGCGGGCTCCCTGTCTGTTTTCTGTCTCTCTCGTACACATAAGCGGGCTCCCTGGCTGTTTTCTGTCTCTCTCGCACAAATAGGCGGGCTCCCTGCAATCTCGCACACTCTGGCGTCCCGCCTGGCGATTATCTATCTCTCTCGCACACATTAGCGGGCTCCCTGGCTGTTCTCTATCTCTCTCGCACACATATGCAGGCTCCCTGACTGTTTTCTGTCTCTCTCGCACTTATTAGCAGGCTCCTTTGCTGTTTTCTGTCTCTCTCGCACATATCCGCTGGCTCCCTGCCTGTTTTCTATATCTCGCGCACACATTAGCGGGCTCCCTGTCTGTTTTCTGTCTCTCTCGTACAAATAAGCGGGCTTCCTGGCTGTTTTCTGTCTTCTGTCTCTCTCGTACACATAAGAGTGCTCATACACGGAAGACCCGTCGGCGGGAGACGCGACTAGACGTGTCGTAAACAGCTCCCATTAAATAGTAATTCTCATTGTGTTAAATGCAAACATCAATTTTAACATAGTAACTGCGTATAAATAAACTTTGAGTGAACCCATTTTTGTTGTAATCAGTGCTTCAGTGCTTGTGTGTGTCCAGAAAACTGGGAAATACAAATCACACAAAGCCTGCGCTCCATCAAAGGAATTCTAAAAATCTAAAGAATTCAATCGCCCTTGCACTGATATGTCTCTTTATCACTCACCGCGCGGCACAAAGCGAAGCTCACGGATAAAGTCGCCTAATGTTGTGGTACCCACATCAAATTCCAGCCGTTCCCTTGTTGCCACACGGACCATCGGCTCAGTTACTCTGCCCGAGTCCATGATAGATTCAGACCATCGATTACTACGGTCCACGTCCAAAAAGCTGTTGGCTAACTGTACTCCCAATATTTCACCAACTGTAACACCTGAAATGTCAACATCGCAGACCAAGAAAGCATCACCACATACCCTGATAAAAATGGCTAAGAATAACACACTAGCAGGCGATGAGGCGAAGAGAAAAGGGAGAAAAGCGGCAACAACAACACCTGATAACTCAACGACCTCTGGCGACCAGAATAGGAAGAAAACCCTCAATAAGAAAATGTCAACAAATTCGGACACATCATCTATCGTCCGTCATGAGGAAGCTCCTTCAAACAACAGGATACCACAGGTGAAACGGAAATCGGATGAACAACCTTCACACGATGACATGGAAATTTTCCGATTTGAACCGGAGAAAGGTGACCGCATATGTGAACTAACATGTCAACGTGACGCATTGATCAAAGAAATTACCGACATCAAAAATTGTTGGAATGAATGCTAATTCATACTTCCCGCACTCAATACAAATCGGTGTTGTACACCGGTGACTCGAGTAGTCACCACAACCTCTCTGTACT